GTGGACAACACAGGCCTCGTTCTCAACGACAGCGTCTCTCAAACTTTCATGTTAGAGCCAGAATCACCTGTGTCTTGTTAAAACCGAGTGTCCCATGGGGGTAGCGGGGAGCAAAACTTGTGTTTCTGACAATATCTCAGTGTTGAAGCTGCAGGTTCAGGCACCCGACTTTGTGGTGTGTGTAGACTAAATAACTCAGAAAGCAGCTGAGTCCCTCTTTGAGGGGTCAGTTATGACTTTGTTCTCCCCACCCCCAGACTCCTTTTAGCTGCTCTTCTCCAGGACAGGCGTCCGGCCTTTATCTTGCCTCAGGGGGTGTTGAGGCTACATCCCAGGTGCAGGCCTCATTTTCCCGAGTTTTTCTGGGTTGAGGTGATGCTGGTTACTGTGTGCAGCCCTAATTGCCCACCTCTGCGAGAGTGCGGAGTTAGAGCAGCTCCATTGCAGGCAGGTAGGGCTCCTTTCTGCTCTGGATTAGGTGACCAGCCCTGCCCTCCCAGCTGCAGAGGGTGGGGTATGGGAAGACTAGGGGGCGATGGGTGCACATTCTCAGCCATCCACTGTTCCCAGGAGGGAGCCTCAGCTCAGATTGCTCAGGAGAAGCTGTGGGCGGTGGCAGGACAAGGCCTAATGACAGACAGCTCCCATCACAGGCTGCAGGGTATCTGCGCCTTTAACAGCCCATCTGTCTTGGAAAGGAACCTGTCCTCCTCCCTTTCCATACAGTTAGTTAATCTTGTTGAGCCTGTGTGACAGCTGCACCCACGGGCATGGTTCCCATTTTCCAGATGAAGAAGCAGGCTCAGAGAGGAACTTGCCCAAGATAGCTCAGTTATCTAGCGGTGGCATCCGCATTCAGCCCAGGTTTCCAGCCCCTAGAGCTGATGATCACTTTCTACCGCTCCAGCCCTGCATGACCCAACTGGCAGGTGGACTTGGAGCCAATGTGGGAGGTCCAAGGGAGGCAACTCCTTCTTCTTTGTTGGAGTCCTGAGCCTCCTTAGGAGATGGTGGATTGTTCAAAGATACTTCCCAAGACCCCTTCCTCCCCTGGCCTCTCTCAGTGCCATAGGACATGCCCAAGACATCCTGCCAACTTTCTTTCTCTGGCAGACCCTGGGACCAGGGAAGAGGATGTCCTGGTGGCAGTGGGCATCTCCATGGCCATCTTGTTAGATTTGGGTGCAGACCTCTTTCTTCCCTCCTTTCTTCTTTTTTCTTTCTTTCTTTCTTCCTTTCTTCCTTTCTTTCTTCCTTTCTTCCTTTTCCTTTCCTTTCTTCCTTTCTTTCTTCCTTTCTCTCTGTTATCAAATTTTTCTTTTTATTGAGATATAATTGACATTAGTTTCAGGCAATGATTTGACAGCTGTGTATATTGTGAAATGATTACAATAAGTCTAGTTACAAATTTTTGTGTACATAGAGTTACAGACTTTTTTCCTTGTGAGAACTTTTAAAATCTCTCAGCAACTTTCAAACATACAGTACAGTATTACTGACTATGGTCACCATGCTGTACATTACATCCCCGGGGCTTGTTTTTTTTTTCATTTTTGATGTTAAGCTTTTAATTGTAATTCCTGCTTATCTCTGGGGATTTCTTGCTTCTCATGGACTAAGGGGTGGGGTGGGTATATTGAGCAGCTTCCTGGGAGTGGTGGCTTCTGAGTTCAGCCTAGAAGCCCTTGGCTGTGTGAAATGGCAGGGAAGAAGATTCCAGGCAGAAGGTGCAAAGTGAACAAAGGCCCAGAGGGAGGAAAATGCAGTGTACCTGGGGTCAGTCAGGGGTGGTGGGCTCCGCTGGGCAGGGCGGGCCTCAGATCGTCAGGAAGAGCAGCTGAGCGCCAGCCCTGCCGTGTGCCCCTCGTGCTTCTTCCCCAGAAAGGGGTGTTCCAGCTCTCCCACGAGGACTACTTCATTGAGCCCCTGGATGGTGTCCCAGCCCGGCCTGGCCGTGCCCAGCCCCACGTGGTATACAAGCGCCAAGCCCCTGACAGGCGGGCAGAGCTGGGGGAATCCAGGGCTGCAGGCACCTGTGGGGTGAAAGGTATGCTCCTCTGCGGCCAGCTCTGGGGTAAGGGGCTGGGACTGGGGGCATGGAGGGTCCTTTCTAGAAACTTCTCTCAATAACCCCATGTCCAGCTTCTGTTGGACCAAAGGGACACAGACAGACCAAGAGACAACATCGTCACAGCCTGTGCCCTCCATATGTGTCACGGGCTTGAGGCCTCTGCCTGTCAGGCCTGCCCCAGCTCATCCCTGGACTGACCCCTCTCACTGCCACCTCATCTACTCCCCCCACCTCAGGGCTCCATCCATCCCTGCCCCCTCCCCACTCACTGCCTGTGGACCTCCAGTTCTGCCAACCATTCTTCCTCAAGTGTCCAGGCAGGGCCGGGTCATACCCAACCCCAGCAGGACAGCTAGCCGGGAACCTCCCTCCCCTCCCCAGTCCGGTCCCACCCCAGAGTAACTGACTCTGGTTATTGGGGACCTAGAGTGTGGTACCACCAGTGCCTCTTCTGCAGAGTGGCCACAGCCCTGGCCAGTCCAGGTAAGGAGCTGCTTGCTAAGGGCTACTGGGGTTTGGGAGCTGTTCCAGCTTCACAAGCTGCCAACAGCTTGGGGACTCTATTTGCTGGAACAGATACCCACAGAGGCACGCTTCTTGGCCTCAGTTTCCCCAGCTTCATAGATGTGCTGCTGCTTCTGATCTGGGGGCAGCCTCGGCCAGTGGGGCGGGTCTCCAGTGGGGTCAGCTGGGTTGGGTCTTGGCCAGCATCCCCAGGCTGGGGGTTAGGCCAGGGGGTCTGCATGTGCTGGCACATACTCACCCCAGTGGGGGAGGGAGCCACGTGGGGAGTTAGGGTCCCAGGAGCTCGCTCACGGGCACAGTGATTTACTGTGTTCATAGCCACCATTTCATCGGTTGATCAGCTTATCTACTTATAGTCAGGGATCCCCAGGGCCAGAGAAGGGAAGTGAGCAGGTCAGGGTCACATGGCACGGGTCCGAGGCAAAGTCATGATGGGAAGCCAGGCCTCCTGCCTTTGATCCCAGCACTGTTCCCGCTGACCCAGAGAGAACTCGCTATGAAGAAGCCCTTCAGATGCGGGCCCTGAACCCAGTCTGCTGGCAGCTAACCCCTACCCCGTCTGGGGCCCACAGAGTCCCCAGATCTGGAGACCCGGCGGGAGCGTTGGGAGCAGCGGCAGCAGTGGCGACGGCAGCGGCCGAGGCGTCTACACCAGCGCTCGGTCAGCAAAGAGAAGTGGGTGGAGACCCTGGTGGTAGCTGATACCAAAATGGTGGAGTACCACGGGCAGCCAAATGTCGAGAACTACGTGCTGACCATCATGAACATGGTGAGGCTGCTGCGGGCGGTGGGCATTGGTGGGTGGTGAGGGCTGCCAGGGGGTGGTGTTGATGAGGTACAAAGGGTGTGTGTACCCCGGGTTCAGGCCCCAAGCAGGAGGTACAGGCTCCAAGCTCTTGAGTCCAGGAGAAGATGGGAAGCCCCGCAGGGAATCACTAGGAGAGAGCCCTGGCAGAGGTGGGGCCTTTGAGGCTGCTGTGGGACATTGTTGGGTGTCATGTCACTTCACTGGCTCAGCAGCCTCCACCTGCTGCCGGGACCAGGGCTAGGGGAGGGGAGGCTGAGGCAGCCAGAACCCTGTGCCTACCCAGGGGAGCTTGTAGGCTGGTTGGCTTATCCAGATCACTCTGAACAAACACCTCCTTCCTCTGTGCCAGGATGTCAGCACACCTTAGAATTAGAAGGGTCTGTTCAGCTCAGGGGTCTACTAGCTGGTGATCTTGGACAAGCCATGTTACCTGTCTTAGCCTCAGCTTGCTCATCTGTGATCTGGGGGTGACATTAGTACCTTACGGGGTTGGCATACTACTCTTGACCCCACAGTTGAGATAGCTAGCCCCTGAGAGGGTGAGTGACTTGCCCCGGTCACACAGCAAGGCAGGACAGAGCCCAATAGGAGCCCAGGTCTCCTAAATCCCCCTGGGTCACCGTGGCTGAGTGGAGCTGGTGATTCCCCGAGCTGCCTGCAGTGCCAGCCACTTCTCCCTGCCACTTCCCCGGGTGTGCAGGTGGGCAGCCTCAGGCAGCCAAGCTGCTTCCTGCGGCCCTGACCCTGAGAGAAAAGATGTCTGCCCCTGGCATTCTTAGCAGGCCACCCACTGCACAGTGCTGTTTCCCTCCTGGTCTGGATGCTTGAGGGCAGGGTGAGGGGTGTGTGCTCTGCAGCTGACGTGGCCAGTGTCATACTCTACAACTTCCCCCCCATGCCAGCTTTTCATCCCTGCAACAATAAAGGACGTGCCTCTGGATGATCCAAGGTCTGGCCACGCCTTTTATAGCCGTGAAGCCTGGGCTCAGAGAAAGGAAGGGGCTCCGTCCACGGCCATCGTGCCCCCGCTGCTCGAGCCTGCATTGGCAAGCCCAGCTCTGGGCCAATTCCTGCCTGACTTGGCCACCCTTGTTGGCTCCCTGCTCCTTATGGAATGAAGGCCATGGCCTTCTGCCTGACACTTGAGGCCTCTGTTTAGCTTCATCTGCCCACGGAGAGTGACCACTAAAGGCCAGGGTTCAGGGGCAACTGTCGCTGGACAGCAGGGCCTGGCCCCTGGGCTGGGGAGTGGGCAGGGCCAGGTTCTCAGGCCACAAAGTCCTCTCCTTTTGTTCTCCCCGCTCAGGGGCTTAGCCTGAAAGAGGCGAAGGACCTTGGCTGGAGCCACCGATGTTTAGCTGGGTGCATTTGCTTTATCTTTTCTGAGTGTTCTGTGCGGGCCCGGTGCTGAGCCCTCCAGGCTCCCCTGGGTGACAGGCCAAGGATTTGGCCCCAGAGCCTGGCCTCTTCCTGCCTCCCTGTCCGGGATCACAGGAGGCATGCATTTGTTGTGAGCCCCACCCTGGAGGAGGGAGGCCATGTCTGGCTCTCACATTTCCCTGCTCTGGACGATATTAGGTTTTCCAGCATCGGTCAGGACAGAGTAGGGGCACCTCCGAGCCTAACAGTGCTGGACACCCTGTAAGGAGACTCCAGGAGATGGCAGGGGCATGGGGTGGCATGCAGGCAGCCTCTGAGGAGGGCTGGACCGTGTGTTAGGGCGGGAGCCTTGTGAACACCCGCTACTTGTCCAGTGTTCCACATTCACTGCCTCATCTAAGCCTCAGCCCCATTTTATAGTTGAGTAAACAAAGGTTCAGAGAGGCCAAGGGACTTGCTCAAGGTCACATGACCAGTAAGTGCCAGAGTTGGGACTAGAGCTCAGATTTGTCTGTTTCCAAAGTCCTTCTCTGTCCTCAGTGCCTGCCCAGAGAGGGACAGCTAGGTAGCTACGGTGACCAGGGTGTGCTAGAATGATGGGGGGATGGGGTGGTGGAGATGGGGAGAACTTACCCCCTTTTTCCCTCTGGAGCAGATGCTTGTTCATGTAATGTGCCAGGCCTAGGACTTCTGTCTTTACCCTCTGGACAGCAAGACCCACTCATTGCTTTCAGCAAGGGCATAGTGTGATTGGGTTTACATTTCAACGACAGATGACAGGGCTGCGAGGCTGCAGGTGGGCTCAAGGGCAAAATGTAGGAAGCAGAATCGGTTGATGTAGGGGAGGAAGGCAGCGCAGAAGGGCTCCCAGGCTCCAGTGTGTGCGTGGAGGTGACGGAGGCACATTGCATTACCGTCTTCACCGTCTCTGAAAGTGCAATTCATCCCCATTATCAGGGGCTTTTATGTCCTCTTAACAGCCTGTGTTTTCTCCGTTCCTATTTGAATAATATTTTTCTTGATGGAATTGCTAGAAGCCAACTCTCAGCTGGCGTGTCTTGACATCTCTGCCTGCTGGGAACCCGGCACCAATCCCTAGTCATGGATGGCCTCTTCCTCGTTCTGAGGGAGCTCTGAAAGACAAGATCGCTTTCCCCCATTTCCTTGCACCTTGGAGCACTGTCCATCTTTAGGGGTGGCTTTCTGTCTTGGGGCTGAGTGGGGAGCCACCTCTGTAGCTGAGTGGGGGCCTCTGAGAAACGTGCACACCTGCCCTCTTGGCCCCATGGCTCTCAGCCCCAGGGAAGATGCACCTGTGCCTGCCTCCATCCCTCCCCCAGGCTCTGTTCAGGTCATCTGTTGTGAGAGGGCTCAATTCTGGAATGCTGACCCAGCACTCCCAGGACAGGAAGGGGCTGCAGGGCCAGGGCAAAGTAGGGCCCTAGGATGAGCCAACAGGCCAGCATTTGGAAGTGTGAGCTGGGGAATAGGATCCCAAACTGGTGCTCAGGACTGGCCTGGGCCTGGGTGGGGCTGGGGAGGCCCTCTTGTCCCCCCCAATGCAGGGTTAAGGAAGTGTGTGTACAGGTGTGGGCACTTCCACGTATGGGATGCATGTAGTGGCTGAGCTCCCCTGCCTGTGAACGTGGCTGTGCCTCCCTCCAGGTGGATTGGAGGTGGGCAGAAGCTGCTCATATCTTGTATCCAGGGTGATAGCCTGACCCTTATCTCTCGTGCAGGTGGCCGGCTTGTTTCATGACCCTAGCATTGGGAACCCCATCCACATCACCATTGTGCGCCTGATTCTGCTGGAAGATGAGGAGGTAAGTCACATGGCCTCACACTGTGCCCTGGGATAGGCATCATCTGCCAGAGCCCTTCTGCCATTTACCTGAGCTGTCTTGTGTGGAAGGGCACAGTGAGGGCCTCCTTGGCCCAACAAGTGTCATCTGTCACCCCCAGTCCCTGGCTGACCCTTTTTTAGGTCCCCTCTGGGGGGTGCCTGTGGGAGGGGTGGTCAGACTGGAGGCTGGACTGGGGCCCACAGCCCTTGGCTGCTTGTCCGCCGTTGCCACCTCTGGGTCTCTGTCTCCTGCTTTCATGTGGAGGAGAATTTGGCTTGGCCCTTCAGAGCTCAGGGGGAGGTTGAGTGGCCGTTCTCTCTGCCCCCAGGAAGACCTAAAGATCACTCACCACGCAGACAACACCCTGAAGAGCTTCTGCAAGTGGCAGAAGAGCATCAACATGAAGGGGGACACCCACCCGCTGCACCATGACGCCGCCATCCTGCTCACCAGGTGCCGCCAGCTGGGAGGGGCTGGGCTGGGGGTGCGGCCGGGAGAGCCTGCCTTGGAGGGAGGTGCCCCTTGAGACTCAGGGAGGAGCCTCGGGATTGGGGGAGACACGGCTCTGCTCTCAGGGAGCCATATTTTGAGGAGAGTTTGCACGCCTTTGACCCACGACTGGAAAGTCTCACTCCCGTACCACGCCCCTCCAGCACAACCCCAACCTCTGACAACCACTGATCTGTTCAGAGGAGGCAGTATTTTTTAACTCCAGGTTTAGTTATTTCCCTCTACTGGGCTCTGGCAGCTTCTGTCACCATCCTCGCTGGGGTAGGAGCCCAAATTGTACGTGCGTGGGTCTGCTTCCCAGGCCCAGACAGGTGTCCTGTGTGGACGAGGACACCTGCTTCCCAAGTGGCTCCTGCCCTGGTCTCGGAGCGAAGGGAGGCGCATCTCTCTCCCTCGCTTCCTCGGAGTCAGCATGGGCCCTTCCCTGCCCCCCTCAGCTTGGGTGGGCCTGGCTCTGGGCCAGGTCAGCCTAAAGGCCCCTTCTCTCTGTCTGTGCAGGAAGGACCTGTGTGCAGCCATGAACCGGCCCTGCGAGACCCTGGGCCTGTCCCACGTGGCGGGCATGTGCCAGCTGCACCGCAGTTGCAACATCAACGAGGACACGGGCCTGCCCCTGGCCTTCACCGTGGCCCACGAGCTCGGGCACAGGTACCCCACCCCCCTGCCCCCACTGCCCCCACACTAAGAACCCAGTTTCACCTCCAAACCCGCGGGCACCAGACAGCCAAGCCAATGGCCTGCAAAATCCCAGGGAAGGGAGCCCTGCCTTGGCGGAATGAGCCCAGCCTGGCCACGTGCTGTCCCTAAAGTGTCCCTACCCCACAGCCAGGCTGCTTTCCTGTTAGATAGGAGAGGGGCCCACCTGGCCTGGAGTGGGTCTTATCTGAAGTGGAGTTGAGATGGGTCAGAAAGTCACCATAGGTCTTTGTCCCTTCCTGTTGCCCTCACTGCTTATATTTTTGACTCTTGGTCCCTACCACCCCCTATTCCTAATTGCTCTGTGATCCTAGGCAAGTTCCACGCCCTCTCTGGGCCTCTATGTGCTCCCTGTTGATCGAGGAGGTTGGATTCAGTGATGTCCAAGGCTCCCTCCACTGGACACCTTTACATGAGGCTGTTATGCCTAAGCTTGGCCCGTGCCCTCAGCCACGTGCCCAGGCTGTTTAGCTGTGAATAAGGCAGCATCTTAGATGGTCTGGGAACCAACTAAGGCAGGCTCGCAGAGAGCTCCACGGCCAGCAGTGTTGGGTCATCACTGAGGACTGAACGAGGCAGAGTTTCTGAAAGTGCTTAGTGAGGCACCTGGCACATAGCAAGTGCTCAGCAAATATGCTCTTTCTCTCATGTCTGTCCCAAGGATGGTCTCCTGAGACCTTTCCTGGGGGAATACAGCAGCTCAGACTCCCTAACTCCAGTGCACAGCCTTGGGACAGGACCTGAGGGGTGGGAGGACCTCTGCTTTCCTGGTACCAGTGAGGTTGCAGGGGCCATAGTGGCCTTTTTGGCCAGCCCAGTGCAGGGGCAGGGCTGCTCCGCGGCCCCGGTACTCAGTTCAGGCTCAGGCTGGCGCACCTGCAGGAGGGCCCTGTGGGATCCTAGTTGTCACACCCACATTTTACCTTAAGGAAACTGAGGCTCCGAGATGGGCCGTGATTTTCCCAAGGCCACAGACTGGTTTGGGGGCAGAGCCAGGCCTGGGAGCCAGCTTTCGGCACCTTGCAGAAGTCCAAGGGCGGGGCGGGCCGGCGGCTTCCCGCGGCTCACCCGCCCCTGGGGCCTGTGCTCTCACGCAGTTTTGGCATTCAGCATGACGGAAGCGGCAATGACTGTGAGCCCGTTGGGAAACGGCCTTTCATCATGTCTCCACAGCTCCTGTATGACGCCGCTCCGCTCACCTGGTCCCGCTGCAGCCGCGAGTACATCACCAGGTTCCTCGAGTAAGTCCTGCCCCAGCCCGGGGCCTTGTCCAAGCCCCAGAGGTCAAGGTCCGATGGGGAGATGCAGACAGCAGCCCTCAGTGCCAGGGCAGAGGGAAGCACGGGGGCACCACATAAAGATGGGGCGGGTCCCAAATGCCCGCTTCTAAGGGCCACCTGAGCTACACCTTGGAGGATGAGCAGGAGTTCATAGCGTACAGGCGGGAGAGGAGTGGTGTTCCTGGTAGAGGCAGCACTGGCATAAGGCCCAGGACGTGAGGGGTGGGATCGTTTTCTGGGAACAGCGGGATACTGAGTGAGGCTACAGGAGCTAGACAGGATAGGAAAGGAAGCCGGAAGTGGTGCCCAGCTGGCCACATGGCCGCAGGGTCCAGTGAAAAGCAGGGAAGAAGTGCCACTAAAGTTACTGAAAAAAAATCTTTTCTTTCATGTCCTCTTGATTTGCCGTGGTATTTTTTATTTGCTATTTAAGCTAAGTGAAAACAAATTAAACATTTAAATGATTGGCACAAGTTTTGTTTTTAATCGAAGTATTATTGATGTTCAGTATTATAGAAGTTTTAGATGTAGAAAATAGTGATTCACAGTTTTCAAAGGTTATGCTCCACTTACAGTTATACAATATTGGCTATATTCCCTGTGTTGTATAGTATGTCCCTGTAGTTTGTTTCTTTTGTGCATAGTACTTTGTACCTCTTACTCCCCTACCCCTATCTTGTCCCCTCTTTCCTCTTCCCACTGGTAACCACTAGTTTGTTCTCTATTATATCTATGGGTCTTTTTCTTTTTTGTTATATTAACTACTTCTATTTTTCAGATTCTACGTAGAAGTGATTATAGTATTTGTCTTTCGTTGGCTTGTTTCACTTAGCATACTATCCTCCAAGTCCACCCATGTTGTTGCAAATGGCAAAATTTCATTCTTTTTTAATGGCTGAGTAGCATTCTGTTGTATATATGTACCACATCTTTTTTATCCATTCATCTATTGATGGACACTTAGGTTGCTTCTATATCTTGGCTATTGTAAATAATACTATGAACATTGGGGTGCATGTATCTTTTCAAATTAGTGTTTTTGTTTTTTTCGAATACATATCTAGGAGAGGAGTTGCTGGGTCATATGGTAGTTCTATTTTTAGTTTTTTGAGGAGCCTCTGTGCTTTTTCCACAGTGGCTGTACCAATTTACATTCCCATCAGCAGTGTACAAGGATTCCCTTTTCTCCACATCCTTGCAACATTTTTTATTTGTGCTCTTTTGGATGATAGCCATTCTGACAGGTGTGAGGTGGTATCTCCTGATTCGCAGTTCTCTGGTGATTAAAAATGTTGGGTATATTTTCATGTGCCTGTTAGCCATCTGTATGTCTTCTTTGGAAAAATATCTATTTAGGTCTTCTGCCTATTTTTTAATTGGCAGAATCATTTTTTTTCAATTAAAAATTTTTTTTGTTTGTTGGAGGAGGAGGTAATTAGGTTTATTTCTTTATTTTTAGAGGAGGTATTGGGGATTGAACCTAGGACCTCATGTGTGCTAAGCATGCGCTCTGCCACTTGAGCTATCCCCTCCCCTCTGGATTGTTTGTTTTTTTGATGTTAAGTTGTACAAACTGTTTATATATGTTGGATATTAGTCTCTTATTGATCATATCATTTACAAATATCTTCTATTCAGTAGGTTGTCTTTTTGTTTGTTGATGGTTTCCTTTGCTGTGCAAAAATTTTAAGTTTAATTAGGTCCCATTTGTTTATTTTTACTTTTATTTCCTGTGCTTTAGGAGACAGATCCAAAAAAATATTGCTATGATTTATGTCAGAGTTTTCTTCCTATGTATTTTTTTCTAGGAGTTTTATGGTTTCCAGTCTTACATTTAGGTCTTTAATCCATTCTGAGTTTATTTTTGTACATGGTGTGAGAAAATATTCTAATTTCATTCTTTTACATGTAGCTGTCCAGTTTTCCTAGTGCCACTTATTGAAGAGACTGTCTTTTCTCCATAATCTATTCTTGCCTCTTTTGTCATAGATTGACCATAAGTGTGTTTATATCTGGGCTCTCTGTTCTGTTCTACTGATCTATGTGTCTGTTTCTGTGCCAGTACCATGCTGTTTTGATTACTGTAGCTTTGTAGTATAGTCTGAAGCCAGGGAACATGATACCTCCAGCTCTTTTCTTTTTTCTCAAGATTGTCTTGGCTATTCAAGGTCTTTTGTGTTTCCATGTAAATTTTTAAATTATCTGTTCTGGTTCTGTGAAAAATGCCGTTGATATTCTGATAGGGATTGCATTGAATCTGTAGATTGCCTTGGGTAGTATGATCATTTTAACAATGTTAGTTCTTCCAGTCCATGAACAAGGTATATGTTTCCATCTGTTTGTGTCATCTTCAGTTTCTTTCATCAGTGTTTTATAGTTTTCCAGGTACAGGTCTTTTACCTTCTCAGTCAGGTATATTCTTTTTGATGCAATGCTAAATGGTATGGCTTCCTTAATTTCTCTTTCTGATAGTTCATTGTTAGTGTATAGAAATGCAACAGATGTCCGTATATTAATGTTGTATCTTGTAACTGTACTGAATTCATTGAGCTGTAGTAGCTTTTTGGTGGCATATTGTTCTTATATTAGTTATTTGACAATCATCTTTCTTTTATTTTCTCCTTATGGAACTGTTCATATTCAGCTGTTCTCTCTCACATTCTTATTTTTATACTTTTAACTTTTTGTCTCCTTCTGTTTTCTGGAAGACATCTTGATCTTTACCTTACAACCCCTCTATTAAATTTTTAAATTTTTAAAATTGTACTTTTAATTTCCTGAACTTTCTTATTCGCTAAATACTCCCTTTTATTATCCTGTCCTAGTTTCATGGGTGCAGCATCTTATCTTTCTGAAGGTATTATTTATGGAGATTTAATGTTTTTCTTTTGCTCTCTGTAGTGTCTTTCTTTCCTTTGAGTTATTTTTTTTAAAGAATCTTTCTTTCATGTTAAAGGTTTTCTTAAAATGGTGGCTGTATTCCCTCCATGGAAGGAGGCTCTGGGATGGTGGTCAGGAGGTCTGTGGACTGGGCAGCCCTTTTCCAAGTCACTGCTGAGGCTGGCTGGGACGGGGCTGTCTCTTTGGGAGATCGTCAGATGTTAGTATCTCGAGTCATTTTCCTGAGTGATTGTTTTCCCAGAGAGGCACTCTCTAGTCTTTTCCTGGGAAGATGTAAGTCTGGCTTCAGCATTCTGGCCTCTAAATGGGGAAGGAGCTTGGCCATTATCTCAGCTTCCTTGTGTAGATATTCACTTGTCCCCTTTTCTCTGTAGGTCCCGCTTCCTCAGGCTTTCTACTGCGTCAGGTGCTCCTGGGCCAGATCTCCTGACTCACCCTTGCCAGAGAGTGACCCCGGCCCTCTACCAGGCCGGGTGATGGCCATCGCCTGGCCACACAGAGTTGGGGGGGGTGTCCAGGGTCTGATGGGGTCTTACAGACTTTCAGCCAAGCTCTTGTCCTCAGTCTACTGGCACCCAGGCCTCCAGGGATCCCTGGGGCTCTAATTCCTGAGCCCTTCCAGTGTCCCACTTCTGGGTGGTTTCTCCCTGCAGGACTGGCTCCTGGCTTTCACTGCTCTGCTAAGTTAGCTGCTGCTCAATCATCTGCTTTTCAGCTTCTAG